AAATATTAGTATTAAATTGTGAAAACTTAACTTGTAATTGTCTACCGAATAGTCTATGCTGACGCAGGTTATGAAAAGAAAAATTGTTTAAATAGTTTATTTTTAAATAAATATGACTACCCAGAACAGTGTATAAAATAAATACGAATATAACTAATCACGCGGTGGAAATAATTAAAGCGATAAGTACCAAAATATAAAATTACAGATTTAGATTTATAGTTACATGAAAACAATTTTTTTTCAATTGTTCGATTGTTTGAGTAAAAAAACTCCAAATGTTAGATTTTTCCTACTGATTAATAATTGACAAACAATAACTATAAATTGTTTAACTTCACTTTTTAAAAAACAAGAGTGTAGACTACTAATACTTAAAATAACTTATCATGTACAATATAACGTTTAGATAATCAAATTTAGTCTTTGAAATTGATACTACTAGTATCATCACTTATATATAATTAACGCAAATATTCATTTCATATGACTGTTAATTAGATTTCAGTATTATTACCTGTTAGAACGAACAAATTACTAACAGCAGGTACAATGTGAATAGAATGTAATAATAAAAAGTATAAACTTTACTTGTTAAAACTTAAATCAATAACCGTGATAATATTAACACAAATGTAAGTAGGTCACAAATAGTATAATCATCACTTAATTGAATTTATTGTAAAAATGGTTAAATAATAATATTAATCAGAGAAGTATAAAGATTTGGTTGTAGGAAGAATGTATTTCATTGCTCTATAGTGTAAGGCTATTTTTATTATCCTTTGAAAGTTCCATAATCAATGACATAAATAGGGAAGTTCTTGGGGCATTCATCCTTAACAAAAATTCTTTAATCTCCCATCTCTCCTAATGGTTTTTGTTTAATTAAGATGTAATTTTTAATACGTATTATTGAATTATCAAAAATTTTTATTCTTGTTTCAACATTGTGTCTAAAATATTTTTCATGTAAAATATAAAATAATCAAAATTCAATATCGCTATTAAATATAATACTTAGTTACTATTGTGCATGAAAGTTCATTCAAGAAGCTAATTTTTCTCATTTTTAGGTGCCTGTACAAATATAATCTATATTTAAGAACGGCCATTTAACCTCACTTATATAATTATGTCGCATTGATGGCCAGACATAGATACATGAGACAATAAAGTTGTATTCATATTTGAAGCGAAAGGGTGCAATTTATAAAACAAGGCTCCTTTCTTGAAAAATATCAAGTGAGCTTAAAAGAAGTTTAAAAACGCCATGCAAAAACTACGAAGTACTCAAAAAGTATAAATCAAAAAGTCTCAACGTAATGAATTCCTGCTAAGTTTAACAATGACAAAGCTTCCTTTTTTAGCTTCAATACAAAGATGAGAAGGTATTAATTTTACTACAATGTGTTGTTCTTAAATTTGTTACCAACTTCTCTCAGCATTCACCAAACCGATTTCTTTCAACGATACGTCATAAGATCACAAATCATATCTAGTCCAAGACATACCCTAAAAAACTGAAAAAATTTACCTCGTGCTCCGTAAATGGGGGACTTCTGTGTGCAATTGGCCGACAAATTTGAACGATAAATGCCATATTTGTATAAAAAAATCACCTACTATCGTGATGTTATATTTGTACTTAAAACTACTATAACTTATTGAATAATAAAAAAATCAAAATTATTTATTTTTATATTGAAAACTTATGTATTTTTTCAAACTTTGATCCTTAATTTGCCCACAGGGGGATTCCAAATAGAAATTTTTCAACTTATGTTATGAAAACATTCCGGAAACACTGCATCCCTAAAATATATGGTAAATTAAAGCTTATATTACGTACTATAAATTTAAAAAAAGCAATTTGTCCAGACGATTTATCTACTACTTGCAAATGGCCACCGTAGTTAAAAAACTTGCTATTTTTGTGTTAAATTTTTTTTTTATTTATTTATTTTAAAATACCTATACAAAGGTTTGTTGTAGTAAGAATTCCATCAATTTTTATAAAATTTACAAAAATTTAACTTAGATTAAATATAAATTTAAACTTATTTTACCTTCACAAAAGTAAGAAAAGCTACTTTGAATTTTTGAATTTGTTTAAACGTTTTTTTTTATCTACTTCTTTAAGTTAATAAAATAAATACGATTATTTCGCAATAAAATCGAAAAAATATTATATTTTAAAGTATGTAAATTTATTATTAGTGAAATAAACACACTGTTAATAAAAATTGAACACGCATAAAAAATGTGTGACGTGTATATTTTACATTACATAGTACGCCATCACATAATCAACTTGTTAATTTTGAAATTGGAAGAAAATATATTATTTTTTAATTAAACTTAATTGCATGCTATATGTATTATTAAGTAATAACTGTATTTTTCAATAATTATGTATTAAATCACTTAATTATAATGATTTATAACATCTTTATATTTATCTTGGTAGTCAAGGCAACGAATGGACAAGATGAATGCAACAAAGAGATTGCAATTAAATTTTTAAATTCATTTCTAAAATCGAGCAACTGGAATCCTTTGAAGAACTTCGTGCATGACTATACAAACAAAAGTGATATGCCTCATATGTTAGTATACGATCTATTAATTGATGAAGGTGATAATTTAAACATCGTCGATATAAATAATGTTGATCAAAAAATATATGATACAATATTGCTTATTAATAACGAGTACGCCATAAAATTTGCATGGATCGTTGATCACATAAAACAAATGATTGGTGAATGTAAACATATCAAATATGTTATGAAGAAAGATTCATCTCATTGTGTGGATATATTGATATCAAGTGTTAAAAAAGTCGAACCAATTATAAACAAATTTATCAATGCAATAAATATCCTAATGAATTTGACAAATATCAATACCAATCCGTTTATTTTAGAAGAATTAATAAAATTTGTTAGATTGGTAGAGAAAGTAAAAAATGTAAATAAAGATGTATATTTAAACACGATTTATGATGAAGCCTCAATCTACTTTTTTGAAAATTGTGAACTGAATATGATAATCAATAATTATAAACTTATTGACTATATTTCGTTGGATAACGATTATCACTATTATAAATATTATTTAAGAAATAAAAATAAAACTGAAGAAACGTTTTCATATTCCAAATTTTTAGAAGAACTCTTAGGAAAAGGTATTCAGAATATGACTAAAAGTTTGTATACAAATCTGGGTTTTTTTTATGACGTAGACGAAAATAAAACTTCTAATATTCACTTTAATAGTTAAAAGAGAAAAAAATCTAATTTTGTTTTAACTGTATTTAATTTTTAAATAACTTTGTCTCTAATTTACTACTTTTAATATGTATTTACCATAAAAAATAAAACAAATTCAAGAATTATGTTTCTTTATCTTTAGTTAGTTTTAGCTTCGATGCAAAGCTGAAAAGGTATTAATTTTACTATCGAGTGTTTTTTTTTTTGTATCTGTTATCACTTTTTTTCTGCTGTCGCGAACCAATTTCTTTCTACGATATCTTAAGCCGGGTTCCCACTACTCGTATATTTGCCGAACATTCACTATTTGTCTTTATTTGTCAAGCAGTGGGAACGGTGCACTTGTACGAGTGTTCGGCGTTCGTTCATCGGCATTCGTTATTCGTCATCTTCCCGATGGATGTCGGTATTTGTGACACGAATCAAAGGGATTATAAATATTTGTCCAAATACGCGATGAGTGGGAACGGTCTACTCGGCTATGTTTTTTATTTTGACGAATATTCGATCAAAATCAATACTTAATTTATTTATATAAATTGTTTTAGTTAATTGATATAACTATTTGTTTTAATTAGTTAATTAAATAAATTTTCAATTTTATTATATTATTATACAGAGTGATTTTTTTACCGCTAGTCAATCAAGTACCTTTAAAATAATAAGTTTTCTAAAAATATATTTTTTTTAATTTTGTTAGTTACAAATGTAAATGTTTTTATATACTTGTTACGAGAGGAATTGTTATGNTACACTTGTCGCAAGAAAACATTTTTAAGACGTTTAACTGTAACACTATTAATTTTACTCGAGTAATAATCCGTCTTTTAGGCGACAATATTCATTAAATGTAATAAAATCAATTATAAACTCTGCGAATCACAAAACATATATCCCCGTAAACTAACATTTTCTTTCACCACTTAAACATTTTTAACTTATAATTACTTATTAATTACAATTTATTAAGTAATTTCTAAAAAGTATTCATTTTTTCATAGCCCCTCTTCTTATGTACTCTCCATACTTGTGATATCTACTGTCATGAGAGAGTCCTCCACTCTTAACCTTTCATGGGAAGGGGGCCCTATGTCGTTCATCATATCCCCCCGGCCGTTTACACCGCCCGTCCACCTAGGACAGGGTAAACCCACAACATGTGGGTTAGGAGGGTATCCAGCTCATATATTAATGTTCTACTCATCTCCTTCTACAATCGTAGAAAATCCCTTGTCAGCCGAAACTTCACATAGTGATATGGGCCCATATTTCAATGCGGGCGTTTAAAAAAATTTGTAATATAATAATAATTATCAATTATATACTAAATTATGCATTAAATAAAAGTCGTACAGTATTTATTTTAATTTAAAATTAAAAATATATTTAAAACTAAAAGTTATAAAAATATATTCAAGTCAAAAGCCATAAAAATTACGAAAAAATCGCGGATACGTATTTAGGGAACAATGTTAAACACATACATGGTTTTTTTAGCGTTAATAATGGTAACATTTGTAATTTTATATTAGTAATTTTTATGGCTTTTAAGTTAAAAATTTTTTTAGTTTTAAATTAATATTTTTTAATTTTAAATAATAGTAGCTACAAGTGATCAATTTTTATTATGTATTTATTTTAATATATTTTATTAAGTTGTTTAATGATGTATTTGTTAATAACTTAATAATTTTGTTTAAATTATATATTTTTTTGCAAATTCAATTGAAATAAATTTTCATAATACCTTTATTTCATATCTTAGTTCATCAATTAATGCAGAACACGTTTCATGTACACATCTTGATACAGTTTGTGTTGAAACTTTAAATAGATATGACAAGCTTTTAAAACTATCTCCAGTAGCCAAAAAACGTAGCGTCATAGCTAATCTTTCTTGTGTTGGTATACATTTTCTCAACACCGTGTCTTGTCTGGATATATAAGGTCCTACTTTACCTAACAAATATTCAAAATCCGTAGATGACATACGGCAAAAATTTTCAAATTTTCCACTAGGCTCCATCCGGAGATCTGCTAACATATCAGAGCCATCATACCTGATAAAATTTATATTATAATTATATACAGAGGTACATCCGGGATTTTTTTTTATGTTAAACATTTTAGTGTTACCACTTTTATGTTAAACGATATTATGAAAATATTACCTCTAGGAATATTTTGATAATACTAATACTTAGTTTAGAACTGCAAAAACCCGAAAAATAAAGTCTGTAAAACTACTAAATAATTGTGTTACACCTTACCCGGGTTACGGGATAAAATACAAAAAAAACATGATATAATTTTTTTTTTTAATTTTGTGATTAAACTAAGAGTTTAAAATGTATGACATGAGAGAAGACAACATTATTTATTTGTTGTTATAAAAACATTTTATGAGAAATAATTATTTTACGAGATATTGCTACAAATATAAGAAGTGTTACACTTGAACCCGTTCTCCACTGTGTGCATGGAGAACCCCAAAATTATAAATCTGGCTATTTGTTGAAATTTAAATATTCAAGTATAAATATAAATTTATATGTAAATAGTAAAATAATTAAGATTTCATATTAATTTTATTTTGAATTATTCTTAAATATTATTACATCTCTCTCTCCGGCGACAGAATAACCACCCGTCCCGAAGTATCAATGGTTAAGAAACCTCCTCCTTTGGGGGAGGCCACTGCGGTCATTAATGGGCTGATAAAGCGGTAAAAAAAACATAAAAAATTGTATATTTTGAACACAAATAAACATACCTTGCTCGACTTTTGTTGTATGATACCATCCACCATCTCCTTTTTTTGGGTATTTTTTTTTCTTCTTGTTCTTTTTTAATTTCAACTAATTCTATATATGTTTTATTTAATAATAAAAATGCTTCGAGAGCTGCTATTTTTTTTCGTTTATCCATATATTTTTATAAATAAATTAATACACTATAATAATTAAAAAAAGTTTTAAAGTTAAAATTTTAAGTTAAAAAACACAACCACAATATACATTACAATATTCTCCACTGATTGTCAACACTTAACTCAACATGGAAAATACAAAATAATTTTACAAATAGACGGGTAATCGGAACGGCAATATTTGTCTACTTGTGCTAGTAGACGAACATTCAGTGATCTTTGTATATTCGACGAGTATACGAGTAGTCGGAACAGTAATATTTGCGTACTTGTACGAGTAGACGAATATTCAGTATTCGTCCTATATTCGGCAAATAGACGAGTAATGGGAACCCAGCTTTATAAGATCACAAATCGTATTTAGTCGAAGAAATTTTTTCTTAAGAATTGAAAAATTTCCATTGTTTTCCGTAAATGGTGGAAATCTTTAAAAAATTATAAATTTAAAATTCGTAACTTTTCGATATTTTAAACCTATTATTTACGAACGAATCAATATTATTATTTACTACCAACATTAATGTTATATGATCAATATAAATGTTTACATTTTTATTACCAAATATATGATAATAAAACTTTAGCTTTGATGCGAAGCTGAGAAGTTATTAATTTTACTATGATGTGTATTTTTTTTTACGCCTGTTACCACTTTTTCTCAGCACTTACCGAACCGATTTCTTTAAAATTGTCATGAAAAATGCTTAATTTTTTTTGAAAAAAAAATTATTGTTCTTCAATAAACCGAGAAAACCTGTAACCCTTTAAAAATGTTATAAATTCTCGATTCAGAACTCTAATAAATACTCCATATCGATAATCAAATTAAAGTAGTAATAATTAATTATAGTGTTGTATTATCATTTAAGCATTTTTTGGACTCGTTGAATAAGCTAAATAGTTTATCAAACAATTATGGTAGTATTCGTATGTATCTTTCTTGCATACAAATAATATAGCAAATAATTATATAAAATAATATCTTCAATACGAAGCTGAGATAGTATTAATTTTGCTGTTTTTTTGTGTGTCTGTTACCACTTTTTCTCAGCTCTCACCGAACCGATTTCTTTCATCAATACGTTAAAATATCATAAATCGTATCTATTCAAAGACATTACCCTCACAAATAGAGAGAATTTCCCTCATTCCCCGTAAAAGGGACAAATCTCCAAAAATATTAACAAATTTAACTTTTAACGTAATTATTTGAAATTTTTTTTACTTAAAACTCTACTTAAAAATGACCAAATCAATATAATTTTTTTTATATATAAATGCACGATGTCTGTATCTACCTTTTGGTATATTGTTTTTAAAATCTGACCTTTTACCTGCCCACAGGGGAGATTCAAAATGACAACTTTTTCAACTGAACCTTTGAAAGTGCTCATAACTGTAGTTAAAAAACTTGCTATTTTTGTGTTTAATTTTTTTTTTATTTATTTATTTTAAAATACCTGTACAAGGGTTTGTTATAGTAATGATTCCATCAATTTTTATAAAATTTACATTGATTTAACATAGATTAAATATAAATTTAAACTTATTTTACCCCCTCAAAAGTAAGAAAAGCTACTTTAAATTTTTGAATTTGTTTAAATGGTTTTTTTTATCTACTTATTTATATCCATCACAATATAAATAATTACAATAAATAGTATAGTATAATATACAGCCATATAAGCTCGGGATACCAATTACAAACCCCGCTAGCCAAAATAACTTTTTTCTTTTTGTTTCTTAAGTCTTTTTTGAGGTGGAAAAAAAATTCAAAATGAATAGTAATAAATAATATTCAATCAAATTTCCCTCGTTCCCCGTAAATGGGAGAAATCTCCAAAAAAGTTACAAATTTAAAAATAGGTAATTTTCGACTTTTTTTATTGTTTTATTACTTAAAACTGCCATAACATATTTAAAAACCACCAAATCAACATAACTTTTACGCGAGGTACTTACCTATAATTTTGTGTATTTTTTTTATAAATCTGACACTTTACCTGCCCACAGGGGGATTCAAATTAATACCTTTTTCGCAAAAAATTAACTTTTAGACGTATATACAAATCGTAATCGTAACAAATACGACATTTTCGAAATAAAATCGAAAAAAACATTATATTTCAAGGTGGGTAAATTTATTATAAGCGAAAATAACACACTGTTAATAACAATTGAACACGCATAAAAAATTTGTGACGTGTTTATTTTACATTACGTAGTACGCCATCACATAATCAACTAGTTAATTTTGAAATTGGAAGAAAATATAATATTTTTTAATTAAACTTAATTGCATGCTATATGTATTTTTAAGTAATAACTGTATTTTTCAATAATTATGTATTAAATCACTTAATTATAATGATTTATAACATCTTTATATTTATCTTGGTAGTCAACGTAACAAATGGACAAGATGAATACGACATAGTGTATGCAATTAAATTTTTAAATTCATTTCTAAAATCGAGCAACTGGGAGCTTACTAAGAACTTCGTGCATGACTATACAAAAAATGATAAGGATGATTTGATAGCATGGGATCTATTAATTGATGAAGGTGATAATTTAAACATCGTCGATATAAATAATGTTGATCAAAAAATATATGATACAATATTGCTTATTAATAACGAGTACGCCATAAATTTTGCATGGATCGTTGATCACATAAAACAAATGATTTTTGAATGTAGACATATCGAATATGTTACAAATAAAGATTCATCTCATTGTGTGGAGATATTGATATCAAGTGTTCAGAAAGCCGAACAAATTATAAAAAAATTTATCAATGCAATAAATATCCTAAAGAATTTGTTAAATATCAACACCAATCCGTTTATTTTAGAAGAATTAATAAAATTTGTTATATTGGTAGAGAAAGTAAAAAATGTAAATAAAGATGTTTATTTAAACTCGATTTATAATGAAGCCTCTATCTTCTTTATTGAAAATTGTGAACTGAATAAGATAATCAAAAATTATAAACTTATTGACTATATTGCGTTGCATAACTGTAGACTTACTTATAATTATTATTTAAGAAATAAAAATAAAACTGAAGAAACGTTTTCATATTCCGAATTTTTAGAAAAACTCTTAGGAAAAGGTATTCAGGATATGGATGAAAAATTGTATACAATAATGGTTTTCTTTTTAAACACAAAATACGATTTCTAATATTCACTGTAATAGTTAAAAAAGAAAAAAAAACTTAATTTTGTTTTAACTGTGTTTAATTGTTAAATAACTTTGTCTCTATTATACATAAATAAATGAAACAAATCCATCAATTATGTCTTTATCTATAGTTATTCTAGCTTTGATGCGAAGCTGAGAAGGTATTAATTTTACTATCATATGTTTTTTTTTTCGTATCTCTTACCNCTATCATATGTTTTTTTTTTCGTATCTCTTACCACTTTTTCTCAGCTCTCTCTGGACCGATTTCTTTCAACGATACGTCAAAAGATCACAAATCAAATCAAGTCGAAGACGTTTTCCTTACAAATTGAACAAATTTCCCTCGTTCCCCGTAAATTGGAGAAATCCCCCAAAAAATTATAAATTTAAAAATCGTAACTTTTTGAGTCTTTCA